TTGGGCCCAGGAGGTGGAGATTGCTGTGAGCTTGATCACTGCATTCCAGCCTGGGCAACAGATTAATAGCTGTCTCCAAAAAAAATGTATTTGGATCATCTATGTAATGAATACTATAGCAGGCATTAAAGCAGTGGGTAGGCTTTAAATTTCCAGAGAAAAAAATGTCCTTGCTACATTAAAAAAATAATGTGAGGAACAATTTGTATGTTTCCGTTTGTGCAGAAGAATTCTCTGTGAAGCATGTGTGTGAAAAAGAGTGGATGGATGCATGTCTAACAAGACAGGATGCATCTCAGAAATGAGATTAAAAAGGAGGAGGCAGGGAAGCTATTGATTTTTACTTTGCACGTGGTTTATTATTTGGATTTTTATAATAAAAAATCCTAAAAGAGATATTTACCAAACAGAATATGTAACTAACTCCCTCTTGCTACTGTTCGCTAAGAGCTGGCAAATCCAGACTTTCACACACATCTCAGAACATGATGAGGCAGGGATCAGGTGAGTGCAGTGGTGTGATGCAGGCTGACATCTGGACCTGGTTCTTCTCCCTGGAGTGGGGAAAATCGTATGAGGACAGTACAGGTTGTGCAGGTCCTGGGGGAAACTCCTATCTTGCAAGAAAGAGCCTGATATCAGGTGGGCAGACCTCTGTGGCAGCCACCCTGGGGTAATCCAATGTGGGATTCAGGGGCTCGGTCTATCAGCAGAGGCCATGTTATTCCAAGACCTGGGAAAGCAGGCAGGCAGCAACTGGAAGCTTGTCAAGATGTCAAGAAGCCATCTGGACCCTTGTCAAGATGTTACAGTGACAAAGTCGATACCTGTACTGGGACTTACATATGTTTGCAGAAGGAATGAGAGAGGCATCCAGAAAGAAAGAGCAAGATGAGATGCCAGTGCATGAGAAATCAGGATTCCCTGGAGGCATCCACAGGTTGTTGAGGTATGGAGACATATACAGAGCCAGTCACCGGCAGCATGAGCATGCAGCAGGTGGCAGGACCCTGGCAGGCTGATCTCAACAGTGACTGGTATTGAGGGTAACGGTGTTTGTGGCTGGAGTGTTCGGGTGCACATCAGGGGTGTCTATGCACCTAGGAGGGACAGCCAGATGGCCCCAGCTGCAGGGAAGAAAGGCTGGAGATTTTGGGCAGGAGGCTGCAGCCTAGAATGGAAACTGGCTCCCGGCATCTTCCTCTTTAATTCTGCAAGAGCCCTAGTACAGATGGACCCCTTCTGAGCTATGTGTGCATGAGGTCTGGCCTCTTGCTGTTTGCAGACAAGCTGCTGGGCAAGGCCTGGCCACTGAAGCCCTGCCTGCCGGCTCCAGGAAGTGGACATCACATGCGTCCATATGGTGGGGAGGCCTGGTCTTGATGGGCTGCCAAGGCTGCTGCTCTGCTACCCTCTGTTCAGGGCTCCTAAGCACAAGCCTGCTGGAGGCAACTGAGTGGAAAGTCAATATAACAATCAGGCGTTTCTCCCCCTGGCATCCTGACAGCCTCTGCACTTTGGGATGGAGATGGGGTAGGGACCAGCTCCAGAGACTCCTTTAGGAGCAGGCCTCCTCACAGGTGCTCCCTGTGAGACAGCTGGCAGCTGCTCTAGAGTGTTGTGCTCAGCAAGTCCTGGTAGCTTCCTGGGTGGGGAGGGAGGTGTTGTGGCTCTGGGGACAGTAGCTTCTCTGTGGGTGAGTCCCCTCCATGCTTCGCCTCTCCTCTGAGACAGCTGGTCTCCTCTCCCCCTACACAGAGCTGCAGAAGAAGCTGGGAGAGGGTACTGGGAAGGGAGCCATGTCCTGGCCTGGCCCTTTCCACCTGCATGGCGCTGGGCAGATCATGAAGCTTTCTAAGCCTCACACTGCACACCTGTAAGATGCTGGCTATCAGCCTGTCTGCCTCGTAGGGCCACTGTGAGATGGGAGCAGCGCCGAGGAATGTGGATTGAGTGTCCCTGAAGTGCCAAGCACTGTGGCCCCATGTACTTGTTCGGTTTTGTTCATGGTTTTCATCACTATGTAACATACAACCCAGCATGCTTATTATTATCTCGATTATCTGTCTGCCTCTCTAGGAAGAAAGTTCCATGAAGAGAAAGCTTTTGGTATCATTTGTTCACCATGTTTAGAGCAGTGCCTGGTGCGTCGGAGAGGCTCAGAATCGCTGGTGGAGTAATGAATGACTGGGTATCTTGCTGAGTCCTTGCTGAGATGATTCACGGTAGAGATGGGAGCATGGAATGGAGGAGGAGGATCATGGTTATGAATTCACAGAGGAGCACGCCGTGGTCCTGGCATTGAAACTGGCTGTTTAACTCTAACTTCTGCACTGTTCAGTGCTCCAAACAACGTGATGTCCAGGAAAGTGCTGCTACGCTATAAAGCACGTGTGCCTGTAAGCGGTTATAAGAATTGCACCTTCCCTTGCCCAATGACCTAAACGTAAACTTCCTGTTTGTGCAGTGCCTTGCAGCCTCCACCCTCAGCCTTCACTCTTGCCTGGTTTTCGGTAGCATGGACAACTCTGCTTTTTGCTGGTCCTCATCATGTATGTTATGCATAGCTAATCTGTAATCCAAGGTTGATTTTCCTGGGTCACCCTTCTGGTTCACTGTTCTCTCCCCTGTCAGCTAGTGGAGAGTGTGCTCCTGATGTTAGCACAAAACTTTTTGTGACCAGCTCAAGCCAAACTGTTGCAGAGTGGAGGTCCTGTAAGAGACACGCTGAATTCCTGGGTCAGGGTGCGCAGCTATCTGCCGCCAAGATGGACTCTCATTCCTCTCCTCGTTAGCCTTAGTGCCTAAGAATCAGGTGGGAAATCTCAAGAGTGGGTTTTTTTTTTTTTTTTTTTTTGAGACGGAGTTTCGCTCTTGTTGCCCAGGCAGGAGTGCAATTGCACGATCTCAGCTCACCACAACTTTCACCTCCTGGGTTCAAGTGATTCTCCTGTCTCAGCCTTCTGAGTAGCTGGGATTACAGGTGTGTGGCACCACGTCCGGCTAATTTTTGTATTTTTAGTAGAGACGGGATTTCGTCATGTTGACCAGGCTGGTCTTAAACTCCTGACCTCAGGTGATCCACCTGCCTCGGCCTCTCAAACTGTTGGGATTACTGGCATGAGCCACCATGCCCCGTCTACAGCAGTTTTACATGGAATATGCACTTATAGTTTCTCTGCTTCTGTCCTGTTATAAATGTCCCTTTTGGTCTGGCCCTGCACTGCATCTCTGTGTCCTCACTTGGATTTGACTCCATGCCTTGCTCTCTGCTGTCCCTTTTCTGTCTCTCACTTTCTCTCTGTCGCATACCTAGCCCGGGGCTTAGATATGATGCTTGTGCTCAGGAACCAGCAGGGTAGTGTGGGGAGGGAGAAAAGCCAGACAGCACATCTCTCCCTACCATCCTCCCATCTGAATTCCATGCTCAGCTGCCTGTCTCCTGCTGATCTTGAGAAAGACCTCTGGAAGGCTGTGCTCCTTCTTGGGTGGTCAGAGAACAAGGCTTTCCCTCCCAAGCTGACAAATCCAAGTGGAGGGGGAGGGGTGGTGCAGAAGTAGAGTTTTCCATCCTCATAGCTGGGAGAGGGTGGCTTCCCGATGTCTTCAGGGGGCACGTGTTCATCCAGCCAGTCCTGAGAGGATCCTCGGCAGTGGAAACCAAGGGGCAGGTGGGAGAAGGAAAGGCATGGGCTTTGGAGTCAGCTCAGCTCTGAACTCTGACTCCACCCTTTCTTGGATGTTCATTGTTGGTCACGTAATACCTCTGAGCCTTAGTATCCCCCTCTACAGAATTTCAGCTCTCAAGGTTGCTGTGAGGATTGGATGAGATAGCTTATGAAGTACACTATACACAAAGCACATTCATATTAGTCATTCTAACTGTGACAAAGTGGAGAAAAGTTTATGTATCAATATTTCCTTTAGCAGGAGAAAGCTGATTTGTTGGGGAAATACTTTCATCTATGCTTTGGAACAGAAGCTGAAAGTTCAGGAGAACCTAGGCATGAAAAGAATGTCTGGCACGGCAGGGGGAGAGCTTGTGCTTGATTCTGTGGAGGTTCTGGGGAGAGGAAATATGAGGGGGAAAGGCTGTGAGGTGCACGAATCGACCCCACCCCATGGCCACCTCCCCACATTCAGTTTCTCTGAATTCACAAGGTGCTTGCATGTGAGTTTTTCATAGTAATTGGAGGTTGGGGTGACATTTGGATTGATGTGGGGCAGCACGGAGGTGGATGCACAAATGAACTCTCTGGAAGTGGGAAAGTCATGAGCAGGTACACACCAGAATTCACAGACATTATGAGGAGGTCTTTAGACTCTCATTGGGAAAGAAATTGGGGTTCAAATCAGGTCTAACTGGGTGTTTGTGGACTAGGAAGTTACAATGGACATCTCGTAACCTCCTACGCTGTCGTCACCATTGTCATTACCGTCATCATCCTCTTCCTCATCAGTGTTTAATAGGGAGAGAGAAACAGGTTCAAGTGCAGTGCTTTGCTCAGTCAAGGTCACATGGCACTAATGGTGACAAGACTGGTTTTGAATTCCCCGTGGCCTGTCACCAGCCCGTGGCTGTTCCCTCTGAGCCAGACCATCTGTCCATCATGAAGGACGTGTGATCTCAGGTAACATGTGAGGAAACTAATCTCATAGGGGTTGCACAATCTGCCCAAGGCCAGACTTGGTCTTAATGGAGGGTGTTGAGGACAGGAAGGAGATACCTGCAGGGAGTAGGCCACTGGTTGGGCTAAGGGGAGCTGTTTCTCTTTTAGACAAATTGCTTCACTGATGAGGATGATTGTCCCTCCTAATCCTGTCTGCTAATTGTATTAAAGCTTCCCTTCTCTGCTAGGGGGTGGAGGGCTGCGGTGATAGGACTGGGCACAGGACTGGGAGTGCTGCCTGCACCCCCTGCTTTAACACCCCAGCTGCACCTGCTTCATTCTTGTGGAGCCCGGTTTCACTTGGTCACACTTCAAAGCATAATCTCACATAAAAAGGCCAAATTTAGTTTTATTCAAATAACTACCGAACATGAAATCTTTGAAGGATCATCACCAACTCTGATTATTGATGACTAAGAAGGAAGGTCTAGAAAGAGAGTGATCATTTACATAATTGAACACTCAGGGAAGGTTTAAAAGCTAATCTTGTGTGCGTGTACATCTTTTTTTTTTATTTCAGAAAGCTTAACACCTGTGTCAGATGTCCTCTTGGAAGCTGTGGAAACCCTGTTGGCTATGCAGACCAAAAGGCTGGTCCTGGGACGGCTGCAGGACAGCAGGGCTGGGATCTTCCCATACCTTCTAGATCAGTATTTCTCTATCTCAGCTACACTGTCAAATGGTCGCCAGCTCAATTCTTTACCTAAGGAAAGAGAAATGAGGAAGGTGAGAGAGAAAAGAGAACTAGGAGATTGCCCCAAACAGTTCTCTTTAAAAGGAGGCAAATGACAGAGGAGGAAAGGATAGGGTGGCAGGGTCTTGCTGACATACCGTGTTCGAGCTTGGGAGATCTGTTTTAGTGCCAGTGCATCGATGGGAATGGCTCAGTGATTGCCAGATACCCACCTGCCACCGTTGGCATCCTTGTCATTAAGACAGAAATTAGCCCAGTTCAACCTGGGTTCTGTGTGGGAAACTGCTCACATGGTTTCCTTATTCTGGGTCCCAGGACATCAACCCTTCATCAAGTACTGGTCATCCTGTCTAAAGACACCTAGAAAAGTTCTTCAATAAGAAGACATTGGAGGGTTTGTGGAGAATGATAGCCTACTGTCTGTTCTGAGCATTTGCCTAGGCAGTGGTGAGCTGGGGCCAGCTCACACCCGCTCATGAGAGCCAACTGGGAACATCTCCTCCCAACTCTGCATCAGTGACATCACAGTGGTTGCTTGAAATTGGCCATGGCAGGAGTTCTAAAATTTTATGTATATTTTCCCAGCTTTATAGATGTATAATTGATAATACATGTATATATAATTGACATCTATATACAATTGACATATATATACAAATAAAAATTGCATATATTTAAGGTGCATAAAGTAATGATTTGATATAAATATACATCATAAAATAATTACCACAATCAAGCTAATTAACCTGTCCATCACCATACGTAGTAACATGTTTTCTTTGTAACGGAAATACAGTACTTAAGATCTACTGTCTTAGTCAATTTCAAGTATACAATACATTATCATTGACTATAGCATATTCACCATGCTGTCAGGATGGTGACTGCAGAACTTATTCATCTTAGAACTGCAAGTCTACACACTTTGACCAACATCTTCCCAGTTTCCCCAAGCCCTAGCCCTTGGTAACCACTGTTCTACTGTCTGTTTCCCTGAGTTTGGCTTTTTAAAGATTCCACATGTAAGTGAGTTCATTCAGTATGTGTCTTTTAGTGTCTGGCTTATTTCACTTGCATAAGGTCCTCCAGGTTCATTCATGTTTTTTTCCAGTAGTAGCATTTCCTTCTTTTTAAAGACTGAACAATATTCCATTGTATTCTAATATTCCATGTGTACAGATACAACATTTTCTTTATCCGTTCATCCATCAAAGGACACTTAGGTTGTTTTCATACCTCTGTGAAACATGCTGCAATTAACATGGGAATGTAGATGTCTCTTCGAGACAGTGATTTGATTTCCTTTGGATATATACTGTGAAGTGAAATTGTTGGATCATATGGTAGTTCCAGTTTTAACTTTTTGAGGAACATCCACACAGTTTTGCATAATCGCTGTATCAATTTACATTCACATGTGGGGATATTTACACCATGAAAATTGGCAAACAAATTGGGGCTTTTCCTTTGTTGGAGAGTCAAATTAAAGCATTTGTCAGTAAAACAACAATGAGATACCACTGCACATCGATGAGAATGGCTAAAATCCAACACAGGCAACACCAAGTGTTGGCGAGGATGTGCAGTAGCAGAAACTCTCACTTATTGCTAGTGGAAATGCAAAATGGTGCAGCCACTTTGGAAGGCAGTTTGGAGGTTTCTTACAAAACTAAACATACTCTTACCATATGCTCCAGCAATTGCGCTCCTCGGTATTTACTCAAAGGATTTGAAAACATGTCCACACAAAAACCTGCATGTGAGTGTTTTTGGAAGTTTTATTCGTAATTGCCAAAAATTGGAAGCAAATAAAATGTCCTTTAATAGATGAATGGATAAAAAAATGGTGGTACAGCCATACAATAAAATATTATTCAGTGATAGGAAGAAATGAGCTATCAAGCCACAAAAAGACATGGAGGAACCTGAAAGGCATATTGCTAAGTGAAAAAAGCCAGTCTGAAAAGGCTACATACAGTGTGCTACTGAATATAAGACGTTCTGAAAAAAACCTAAGCTCTGGGAAAGTATAAACACCAGTGGCTTCCAGGGCCTGGTGGGTAACAGTGAATTGGATGAATAGGTAAAGCACAGGGGATTTTTAGGGTAGTGAAATGATTCTGTAAGATACTAGAGTGTTGGATACATAGACATGCATTTTTCAAAACCCAAAAAGCTATACAACAGAAAGAGTGAACCCGAAGTCAACTATGGATTTTAGTCAGTAATGATGTATCAGTATTGGCTCATCAGTATCACATTAATGCAAGATGTTAATAATAGGGAAAACTGTGGGGATGGGAGGAGAGGGAATATGCAGGAACTCTCTGTATTTTCTGCTCAATTGTTTTCTGCAAACTTAAAATTGCTCTAAAAATAAAGTTTATGCATTTTAAAAGTGTACCAGCATACCTCTGTGTACTTGTCATGGCTTATTTAAACAGTGGTGCCCCTTGGGTGGAAGCAGAAAGCAACATTTTCCTTTCATATCATTGCCTTGTCAGTCTCTTTTTCCTCTCCTTATTGATACCCTTGGCAGATACTGTAACTTTCCCCGTCCCTCTCAGGTATTAAAGAAGTCTTGCCTGGAGGTGTTAAAAGTCAATCAAGTTCATTTAATTATTTAAGCCTCAGTCTCTGACCTGATTCAGCACTTTCCCCCTCGCTCAGCCTGGGCCTGCCTCTGGCTGGGAAGCCAGCAATAAGCAAGGAGGGAAATGGGAGGATTCTTCTCTGTGTCACTTCCTGCTTTTCCCTTCTTCCTTCCTTCCTCCAATTCCAGAGAAGCTAATCCTCTTTTCCAGATTGGCTCCTCTAGAATTGGAGGAGGAAGGAAGGGATTCCAGATTCCAATTCTGCTTTTGGCTCCTCTGGAAATGGAGGAGGGGAAGCAGGAGAGGTAAGGGTAGAGTTGCAGCCTGGCTTTGGTGGCTTCTGGGAGGGCAGCTGTCCCATTTATGGCTCTCTGGAAGGCACAGATTTCCTGGGTTCCTGGGTCCAGGTTGGCTCTCTGTGTTTGACCCCTTTGGCTACCCGCTCCCAGGGCTCCCTGTGGTCCTCCCACAGCACACGATGTGTGGAACCCCCTTGCTGAGGGTGCACTTAGAGCAAGTCCAGCCTCTCCTTCCTTATCTGCAGCCAGGGAGTGGGCCAGCCTCTTGCCTGGATGTGCTCACAGTCTGTGGCTAAGGTGAAGCCACCTCCTGCATCCATGAACAATACAGCACAATGCCATGACAGTTTGTTCTCTACAGAAATCCACTCTCTGGTCTGTGTGCATCAATCTTCAAACCTCTCTTCCAGATCCTCCCGCGGGTGATGGGCTCAGGGTCACTGGGTTGGTATTTGGGTCACACTGGCCAAGTTCTGCATGGATGTGCTGTCACTCCTCATTAGAGTGAGGGGCTGCTGACACCCTTTCCCCCATACTCTGGGCCACAGCTGACACAGAGAGGAGAGCAGAAAAAGGCAGCCCCAACATTCAGAAGCTGGCCCAACACCCACAGCTGGGTCATGCCATTCGCATAAGGGTATGAACAGCCAGGCAGAATACCAGTCTCAGAATACTCTGAGAGTATGAAAAATGAGACCAAGCGAAGCCACTTCGTAATTGTGTCTCAACACAGACAAAAACAAGATTGCTGTGCGGCACAGATGACCTTGCCTGAGAAATGACTCTCTCACTTCTTTACCAATTAGGGCTGTGTCCTCGCTCCAGGGTCTCCTTCCTACAGATTGGACTTATTGAGATGCCAACATGGAATTGCCCCTACTTTTCGATAGCACCCAATCTAGAGGGCAGCCCCACTTCCTTAGGCTCTCCCCCACATCACAAATAAAAGCCTAAATCTTAAAATAAGTGCTTCTAACACCTCCTTAGTGAGATGCCTGGTTCCTTCATGGTCCTGTGTGCTCCCTCAGCAAGTAAGAAGTCCAGCCTGTGTGTTCCTGGTGGGCTTTGGCTGGAGAACACTGACAGAAACAAGAGCAAAAGTTGCATTCTAACTGCTTGTTACCTGTAGTTTTCCCCTCTGTGCACCATTTTTATTCTGCCAAGATAATAACTGTTTCCTTCTTTCCCTCCCTTCTTTCTTCCCCTCCTTCCCTTTCTTCTTATTTCCCCCTCATCACAGAATATTATCTGGCCAGGCGCAGTGGCTCACGCCTGTAATCCAGCACTTTCGGATGCCAAGGGGAGAGGATTGCTTGAGGCCAGGAGTTTGAGACCAGCCTGGGCAACATAGTGAGACTTCTATGTTTAAATAATAAATGAATGAATAAATAAATAAATAAAATTAGCTGGGCATGGTGGCAGGTGCCTGTGGTCCCAGCTACTCAGAGGCTAAGACAGAAGGATCGCTTGAGCCCAGGAGGTTGAGGCTGCAGTGAGCTCTGATCACACTACGGTCCTCTAGCTTACGTGACAGAGTGAGACCCTGTCTCAAACAAAACAAAACAAAAAACCCTAAAATATTAGCCACAATTCTATATTTGAAACCATAGAAGATAGATGTTTAAGAATCCAGAAGATTTTTGGTATTAGAATGGCACAACGTCTGAATATTATGTAACCTCTGGGAATTCTGGGGCAGAGCCCATCTGCAGTGAAATAGAAGTGTGCCCGAAAGACACAGGACAAATAAAGAAAGACTCATAATTATACAGTGTATAAAGGCTTATGCCAGTTCAGACCAAGTTTTTGTTGCTAAACGAGTTTTTATTGACTTCATGGAAAATGTCCAGTTTGAAAGATTTTTTTGGATTTCTGAATTATACATGAGGAATATAGGACTGTACAGATACCTATACATACATATAATTGGATAAAAGTTAGAAAATACAGAAAACCACCAAGAAGAATATTCATAGTCCTCCATTCAGAAGTAACAACAAACATTTTCGTATATGTACCATTTTGTTCGAATCTTTTACATATATCAAAGATCTTTCATATATTAATATATGTAAAATATACAAACACATGTACATATTTTTGCTTATTCCCCCTCCAGAGAAAAAGGATTAAATTCACATTTTCACTTAAATATATAAAATAAACATTCATCTATACCATCAAATATTCTACTATACTGTTTTGAGTTTTATTTTATTGTTATTCCCTAATTTATCAAAGGTTTATGTTGGTTACAATTTTTCATTTATTTATTTATAACAATGTAATGACAATGTAACATATGGATAAAAAGTTATCCATATAACTTTCGGTGTGTTCTGATTTTTTTCCTAGGATAAACTACTAGACATAGAATTACTGGGTAGAAGCATATAAAAGATTTTAAAAAATAGTTTTCTTTTGTCAAAAAGTTTACAAAATAAGCTTAAAAATATGTTTTCATCAAAAAGTTTACAAAAAGTTGGTAAATGTTTTTCATGCATGAAAATGAGTGCTTATTATCGATTTTACTCATTATCATTGTTTTAGAGAATTCTTTTATATTTAGAATAAACATCTGTATTCAGAATATGGTATCATCTATTAAGCACACCTTATAAATTGGTGTCCAGGGGAGAGAATACAGTCATGGCTTCTCAGTTACTGTTTCTGGTTAGGCCAATAAAGCCCCTTCCTCATCCCTCTTTTCTGCTTATCACTAGAGACAGAAACTAAAAATCACAGTTTCAGGCTGTTAAAAGCCTAAAACAAAACAAAACAAAACAAAACAGAACAGAAAACCAGAACAAAATGAGATGGGTTGGACAAGCTTGTAACATTCCAAAGAAACCTAGAACCTATACTCTGGATCTTAATTTAACAAAAATGTTTAGAGAATTTTTTTTTTTTTGCTCCCCAACAGACATATTTTATTTTGTTTTAATTAATACATGGGCTTTTAAAAAGAATAAAAGTTATTTATTTATTTATTTATTATTTATTTATTTTGAGATGGAGTGTCACTCTTGTTTGCCCAGGCTGGAGTGCAATGGCACGATCTTGGTTCACTGCAACCTCTGCCTCCCAGGTTCAAGCAAGTCTCACGCCCCAGCCTCCTGAGTAGCTGGGATTACAGGTGTGTGCCACCATGCCTGGCTAATTTTGTATTTTTAGTAGAGACAGGGTTTCTCCATGTTGGTCAGGCTGCTCTTGAACTCCTGACTTCAGGTGATTCGCCCGCGTTGGCCTCCCAAAGTGCTGGGATTATAGACATGAGCCACCGTACCTGGCCTAAACTTTATTTATTTATTTATTTTATTCATTTTAGGTTTTGGGGTACTGTTTAGAGAGTTTTAAAAATAATTCCTCCTTTATATTTATTGAACCTAAGAGGAATTTCTTGATCTTAACATTCTACTCGTTACTTTCCTTTGAATACTACTTCAGAAGCCAGGTGTTAGACAGTCAGAGAGTACTGCTTTCCTTGCATGGTGATAATTCCAGGGATGTCAAAAATTTTAACAGTTTGTTGAGATGTAATTTACATATGATGAACTGCATATATTTAAAATGTATATTTTGGCCAGGCACAGTGGCTCATGGCTGTAATGCTAGCACTTTGGGAGGCTGAGGTGAGCAGATCGCTTGAGGTCAGGAGTTTGAGACTAGCCTGGCCAACATGGTGAAACCACTGTCTCTAATAAAAATACAAAAACTAGCTAGGCATGGTGGCACATGCCTGTAATGCCAGCTACTTGGCAGGCTGAGACAGGAGAATCACTCGAACCTGGATGGTGGAGGTGGCAGTGATCCGAGATCTTACCACTGCATTCCAATCTGGGAAACTCTGTCTTAAATAAATAAATAAATGGTATATTTTGGTAAGTCTTGATATGTGAATATCTCCATCACCTCAAAAGTTTCCTTGTAGCCCTTGCCTTTGTAATTCCTCTCTCCCACCCCTGCTCACTGCCCTATCCCCAGGCAACCACTGATCTGCCTTCTGTCACTATAGGTTAAGTGTGTGTGCATGCGTGTGTGCATATGTGCGTGTGTCTTCTCCATAGAGAGGACCCGGGAGCAGGGACACCCAATAGCAATGTGCAGACTTTGTGCTTAGAGCCAGGACTCTGGAGAAATGGAGGATTCCATGGGTATGGCAGGGAAGGTACAAGAAGAGCCTGGAACATTTTGGTGAATGGAAAGTTAGGAAGTGCTCCAAGAATGATGAAGACATGTCAACAAGACACGGGAACTGGCTTGAAGGGGCTCCCGGTGTTCAAATCTAGTATAACTTAGACATGAAAAGGAATAATGTTGGTAATGAATTCTATCCTACTGAATAAAATAGAATCCATGAGTCTGTACCAATATAAATATATAAGCAAATAAATAAATGAAAAGAAGACAAAGCATTTCCTTACAGCAGAACGCCAACTAATATACTATAGAGGAATGATGAAATTAGAAAAATCACCCCTCTTCGGCATTCATCTTGGTAGTTACTTCAGCCAAGAAACATCAAGGACTGTGAAGACTGGTTGGGGAAGTTTGATGAGGACTGGTATATTTTCTTAGTCTCAAACAGTCTCATACCTACAAAGAGAAAAGGAACAACTTTGGAGTGGGGAGACTTGGCAGACAGCACCTTAGTCAAGTGATTCAAGTTCACATCAGGTGACATTAGGCAAACAGGAATCACGTACTATCAAACAGAATGCTTCAGGAGCACAATACTAGTTCTGTGGCGTTCCTGCCAAAAACCTATCACCTGAATCCAATTGCCAGGAAACACTCGGCAAACCCAAATGGAGGAACAGCCTGCAAAGAAAGTGTCACAATTCTTCAAAGGTGCCACACTCACCATCAAGGTCAAGGACAGATGGAGGAAACGTTCCAGATTAAAGAAGACGAATGAGGCATGACAGCTAAATGCAACATAGGGTCCCAAGCATTATCAGGAAAATCAGCAAAACTGGAATGGCATAGGGTTTAGATGCTAGTAATACATATTAGTTAATTCCTGGATTTTTATGTTGTGTCATTACTATGCCAGAGAATGTCCTTGTTTGTAGAAAACATACTTTAAAATATTAATGCTATTCTTGGAATAGAATCAGCCAATTGTTTGACTCAGTTCCCTCTTGGTTCTGGTTCTATAAGATCACTGGCTCCTTTCAGGAGGCCCAATCCTTCCATTCTGTGTGGAAAGTCCTCTGAGGGCCCTGGGAGGAAGCCTAGCTCCTCTAGGTGGCGATGTCAAAGAATACTGGAAGAACAATGTGAAAGCGGGAAGAAGCAGTTGAACTTTGCTCTGTGCCTGGGACTTTCCCTATCCTTGCTGAGAGTTGAAATCAGGAAACTTATTAAAGATATCTGTATCATATCAACATAGGCATTAATACCACTGTCTTATGGGGAGGCTGGGTTGAGTTAGTCATGGGAATTCCCCACTGCCATAGACACCCCAGAAGGATTTCGCCATGGGTTAGAAGATTATTAAGGCTGTGGTCTGCACAGGCAAATACTCATTGGTCAGATCCTTGCCTCTCAAAGGTATGCACCATCAAGCAGTATCTGTTTTGTATTTATAAATTCCTTCGCAGTATTAAAAAACTAACCAAGCATCAAACACAATACACTGGCATTTGCTGAAGCCTGATAATCTTCACATTGGTAAGGCAGTCAAAGGAGGCTTCTTTGCCAGCTTTTCAAAGAGGGCTTTTTCAGGGATGTTGTTCTGTACCCAGGCTGGCTTTGACCCCCACAGACCTCTCAGAGCCCATCCCTACCACTGAGCCTCCCTACCGCAGGTGAGTGCGCAGTGGCCTGATTCTTCAGATTCCGCCCCTTTCCTGAGTTTCTGATTGGTTAGCTCCAAGCCATTTGAACTGGCCCCCAAACTGGATGGCCAATCCCTGGGCTGGCTGTCTCCCAAATCATCTGCAGAAAATGACCACCTCCCATCTTCTGCGCCTGCCTCTCGCTGCGCCTACACCCACCCTTCCCCCACGCTGCCCTCCAGTCACATTCCTTATGGCTCTTCTATGAAGAATAATGACATTCTAGGTCCTCAACAATGTTGCACGTTCCACCATGCCTAAAGTGCACTCTGTTCAGCCTGGTCAGACCGGCAGCCACATCGTGCTGTCCTTCCAGAAACTCACCGGATTTTTTTTTATAGGATGGAACTTAGGAGATCATTTTGGTGCTGCATGTAGGTCCTATAAGTGGCCTGTTATTTCATGTTGGAGCTGGAACTAGAACTCCCAGAGCGGCATTCATCCCACTACACCACGCTGTTCTCGCCCGGTGGAATTAGCCGATCTTGGGGTACTCTGACCTATTGTTTATCCTAAGCACAGATAAAATTATTTTCATTCCCGGCTTTAGAGGGCATACTCCAGGTAGGGCTTTGTGAAATATGAGAAACGCCAACTTAGCAAGTAGTGTGTCGAAAATCCCTCCTAATGAGTAAAATGGGATGATGGCAAAGGGGCAGACAAGAGGAGAGCAGAGAGCCTGGGGGCTGCGGAATCACCCCTTATTCATGTGAGGTGATCTGGAGCCAGAAGAGATGAATCGGGGGATTGTGCATTTCCCTGGCTATAAACCCTTTTCTCCCCTCCTCCGCAGCCCCATCTCCCTGAAAAAAAGTTCTTTGGGATAATTGCTGGAAAACAGCCGTGTGTGTACTTGGGGAAGAAACTTTTTATGACATAATGATTTTGGATACAATCCCACCAAGCCAGTGCCCTGTGGCTGTTTTTTCCATTAAGGGATTTCACAATCCATGATCTCTTCTTTGGGAGAAAGAGAGAAACTCGGACATGGGGCCTGAGAGGGGAGACGATGAGAAACGACTTTCTGTTCTCACTCAGCAACAAGGTATTGATTCTCCCTGAATCTCTTCGACTTTGGCATAGCCCAGCTATTCTTAGCAGTCCTGGGCTCTGGGAAAGTCAGTTGTGGCTAGAGCACAAGAAAAATGTGCTTCAGAAAACAGAACTTTAATAGGCTGGATAAACAATAGTATGGTAGTGGCTGCAGCACCTACCATTAATAAACGAGTGGGAAAAATGAAATTCGCCAAGCAGGACTTTATTCCTACTGCAGTTTGCTTGACTGTGTGGTTTTGAGTGGGAGGAAAATAGGCAAAAATATGACCAAGGTGTTTCCCCTATCATGTGCACTGACCCAAGGGGTGTGGAGTCTGGTATTCCTGGACAGGGGCCCCAGATGAGTCTTAGCTGCCTCGCTGTGGTTGACTCAGGCTGACAGGGTAGTGAGTGGACACAGCAGAGGAGACAGACCCTCAGAGTGTCCCATGGAAAGAAGCTGCAAAGGGCAGGAGGCAGAAGCAGAGGACATCTGGGCCCACCTGGAACAATGACAAAGTCCCTGGTGTTTCATCAGCACTTTATAGTTGACAAAACACTTTGTACATTGCCTCATCCACAGAAGCCCTGTGAAGTAAGCGGGGCAGATGCTATGATCTCAATTCGCACATGGGAATTCAAGGTTCACAGAGGGTTAGTGGTCTGTCTAAAGCTACACAGCAAACCAGTGGCAGAACCAGGGCTGGAACACAGCTGCCTTGACCCTATGTTTAGTGAGATTGCCAAATGCATGGAGAATGTGCCAGCACCATGGAGGCATTAGTCTACTACATTCAGCCTTCGCTGCCCTGCCCTGGAGCCCAGTACTCCCACCATGGACTCAGTCTTTTAGGTTAAGTCATTGTCTTCAGCAAAGTTCCAGTTAAAGAAATGTGGAGGTAGAAGAGATCATGAATATCATGAGTTTTTAGCCCCTGGCAGCCTTGAAGTATGTCTCCACAACTTTCATGCCGTGCTGGGTGGCAGCATCTCTCAGGGTTACAGACGTGTCTCTAGCCCTCAGCGTGTTGTTTCCTCCCATCCTGTTCTCAAAGATCCCTAGCAAAGCCCTGCGTGTTGTCCTGCTCTTTGGCCAACGAGGACTACTTATTTGTTGTCCCACTGACTCACCTCGTTCCAACTCCATGCTTCCATTCCATGCGCTTTGCCTTCCTTGCGCTTTGCCTTCCTTGCACTTTGCCTTCCTTGCTGACCCCTCCTCTGTGTCTTGAGTATAATGACTGCTCTGCAAGCCAGAAGGAGACATCTCAAAATCCCATAATATCCTGAGATTCTTAACGCACTTCTCCTCAAAGAGTGGATGGCCAACAGAGAGCCATGGGTGCAAGTTTGGGTGGGGTCTGTTGGAAAAGGTTCTGTCTACTTTGGTACGACCAATTCTATTTTTGTAGCCTTAGGATGCTGGGGACTTTCTTAGGGATGGGCAAAGGTTTTAGATGGCAGAGCTGACTTCTGCTGATGGTGTGGAATGAGGCCTGCAAAGGCCATGTGGAATTTTTCTATTGTTCACTTTACTTTCCCTACATCTGAAACACAGGACTCTGTGCTGTAGCCTGGAGCTGTCCTGCCATTTAGGGGATGCCCAACACATAGTGAGATCCAGGCTGATGGAAAGGGAATTCAGACAGCATATTATCAGTAGTGTTTAAAGGGAGATGCCATAATTATGTCAAGTTGCTGTTTTCTTCTCCCCCTCTTCCTTTTCTCTTAATTGAGAATGAAGACTTTTTCTAGCATCGCAATTGCTATAAAGTGTCTACACCGTTATCTAAGTGAGTGACTCCTGGTCCGGATCCACAACCAATGGGCTGACTGGACAAGAATTATCTGGGAGATTATTATGCATCCAGATTCCCAAGCCCCACCCTGGAGATTCTGATTTGGAAGCTCTGGGAAGGCACCCAGGACAGGTGATTCAAATGTTCACCCAGGCTTGGGAACCACAGGCCTATGACTTAGAGGGCAGGCAGCTCTCAGCAACTAGCACACAGCCACACCCATGAAGGGGTGCCAGTGACCTTTGGAGGATGGTGCTGAGCTGAGAGAAGTTGTTGGTGTTGCTCCTCCTGCTGCTCTGTACCTTCTCTGATGAGCAGGAAGGAACCGCGGAACCCATTGGTCCAGCATCTTTTAGGATACATAGGTCGAGTTCTCCCTGTGCCTAGACTTCTGATATCTAGGGACAAAAGAGATTCCCCAAAGGAAGCCAAACCCCGCATAGCCACATTCTGCTAAGCAAGACTGCATACTGGCACCTCCAACTCCAGCCAAACATCACAAAACTTATTGTATTTTTCTCCCTTTTCACTTTTTTTGTTTTGTAATGCAGAGTTTTGCTCTGTCACCCAGGCCGGAGTGCAGTGACACAATCTCGGCTCACTGCAACCTCTGCCTCCCAGGTTCAAGTGATTTTCATGCCTCAGCCTCCTGAGTAGCTGGGACCTTTGCCGCCATGCCTGGCTAATTTTTGTATTTTTAGTAAAGACGGGGTTTTGCCATGTTGGCCAGTCTGGTCTTGAACTCCTGACCTCAATTGATACACCCACCTTGGCCTCCCAAAGGATTGAAATTACAGGTGTGAGCCACTGCGCCTGGTCGGTTTTCACATTTTTAACTTCATTTACTGAAAGAGAAAGATTCCCATGGTCTTTACTGTATTTGCTGATTTGATCACTCTTCTGTATTTACCTGTCTCTCAGCAGTACCACCCCCTCCCGCACACACATGCCCTCTGCACCCACTGCACCCTGCTCAGGTTCTGATACCTTGTGCTGGCTGGGGTTCAAGATCCTTTGCTGGTCTGCCCCTGGGTGCTGCTCTCCTTGCACAGCTTGGGCTCTGACATCTTGTCTGGGCTGTCCCCTGGGGATGCCCTCCATCCAGGGTCAAGCACTCCCATCCAGACAGCCCCCTGCACGGGTGCTCTCACCTTGCTGGGGCTCTGACAACCCATTCTGGGCTGTTGCACCTGCGCCCTCCTGTACGGAAGCCCAGCTTGCTCAGCCCCACTCATAGATTTAGGACTGACTCTTTCAGGAAGAAGAAAGGAAAAGAAGGGAAAGGAAGAAGGAGAGGAAGAGACCCACCATAAAATTTTGAAGGGAAGGATTCTGCTTACTCTTCAGTGAATCTCATGACTAGGAGGGTATTTCTCACCTAGTTCCTTTCCTAGAGAGTCAGCCTATGAGAGGAATAGTGCAGGGAGGTAGCTAGTGTAGTATATTCAGCACACAGACTCCAGAATGACTTAGAATGTGGCTTTGACGATTTTAGTTGTGTGACCTTCTCAGTGCTTCAGTTGTGTTGTCTGTACAATGAAGATGACCGCAGCATTGACCCCACTGAGTTGTGTGAGGATTAAATTAGGTAACCCATGTAAGGTGCTCAGCAGAGAACCTGGCACAAGGAAGTACTCAATCAAAGCACTATTACTAAGGAGTGTCCTTGTAGGCAGTCAGGCATCGTGGGGTTGGGATGGAGCTGCCCAAGGCAGTTGTGCAACCCCCCACGTCAGTTATATTGGTCTTTAGACCTGTTTTTCTACCTGCAAAGTGACCATTAAGGATCTGTCCTCACCCTGACATTGTAGAATGCTATCCTTGAACTACCTTAAGAGGGCAGAAGAAGGGGAGCCAGTCAGGGAATGAGAATTCTGGCTGCTTCCAAGGTAGGCACAGGATGGTACCTCTGAAGATGGTTGCAGAGCAAGAGAACCGTGCAGGTGGGGAGACAGTCAACCCTCATGTTTACCTCGTGCTCCCCAGTTTGCGGTCATTGTCCACATTCACTGTCTTACGTAATCCCTACAAAAACCTTATGAGGGAGACGTTTCTTCAGATGAGATCCTGAGGCTACAAGAGTTTAATCGATAACACTCAGAAGTGTCAGAAGGACCAGGGTGGGGACTCAGACATGAGGCCCTGATGGTGCTTGTCCTCTGAACGTACTGGCTAGCTGAATGGCTGACCCAGGAGGGAGAATTCCAAGTGCTGACTACTGGTGCAGACCTTCATGTATTCTCACTGAGTGTCTCCCAGGCTGCTCCTGCTGACAAGCCTGTCTCCTCCCTTCTATAAGACTTTCTGCAGCCACACGAGTTCTTGGAATATTAACTAAAGAGCAAACA